GTTAGATTGTGACCACTTTTAGCCATCAAATCTAATACTCCGGCATATGAGCATGTTTCAACTAGATTTTCATTAACTTGTTTAATATCAACTCATCTATTAATTCCGACATGATCCATATACATTATACTAGGTTTTGAGCACTTTGTTGCTCGAGTTTAGTAGCCTTGTGTGTTGATTATGTGAGTCACTCTATAGTTTGAAGCAATCTTTGAAGGTTTGGTTTGGTGAAGCAGTCTTTGCATGTCCGGTTTGGGAAGTCCAACATTATCATTTTATCACTCATGTTTTATTGACATAATGCATCAAATTCAGCATTTCATGATAAGATTATGCATATTGAAATTGACGGACATTATGTATCAAATCCAATATTTAATGAGAACAAAAGCATATTGAGATTGACCGTAAATTTTGATAAGTCTGCAAATATCTCACCAAGCCCTCATCGGTACCTTGTTAATTACATTTGTAACAAGGTACATGAATTGTACGCACTAGCTTCAGGGGAGTGTTAAAATATGAATAGGTTTATACAATCTTATTAGAATAGGAATAGATTTATACAATCCTAGCAGAATAGGAATAGGTTTACACTATCCTACTTAGAATAGATAGGAATAGAAATAGAAATAAGAATAGTAAATAGTATCCTACTTGGTAAAGAATTGTATTCTAGTGTCGATAAATAGGGTCTCAACTCTCAATGCAATAATGTAGACAACAACAACAATTCAATAATATTATTTTTCAATATTTCTCACACCCTCTTTATTGCTTTTCCATAGAAAGTTCCTTCTGAGTTTGTCTAGTTTTTTCACCACCTTTGTTGGGATTGGAAACAAGGACATCACATAGGTTGGTAAAGAGTCAAGAACGGAGCTTATGAGGATCAATCTACCCCCCTACGGATAGGACATCATGGATATGCTAGCTTTGATTGGAGATTTTCCTGGCACAAATTTGGAAACAGATAAATTGTTATGGAGGCATCATATTGATGGTCAATTCTTTGTGAACAGAATGTATAAAAGGGATCTAGCCACAATTGCGGGGAAGAAATCAAGGCCATGGAGTGTTATATGGAAGAGCGTTGCCCTTACTAAGGTGAAGTGTTTCACGTGGTTGGTAACTAGAAGAGCTTGCTGACACATGATAAACTTCAAAAGAGGGGAAAAATTATTGCCTCAAGATGTTATCTTTGTGAAAAGGCCCTAGAAACCAACAATCATTTCTTTCTATACTGCAAAGTACCAACAAAAAGTATAGGCTCTATTTACCAATATAATGAGCCTAAATTGGACTATGCCAGAACATACAACAGACATACTAAGTTGTTGGGTCAGAAGGGGAGGTAGTAAAAGCCAGAGGAGGTGGTGGAGAACCGTACCTACTTGTATCTGGTGGAGCATTTGGTGGAGCATTTGGAAGGAGAGAAATCAGAGAAATTTTGTAGGGAAAGAATGCACTATAGAGAAGATTAAGTGGAAAGTAATTACCACTTTAGGTTTTTGGTGTAAAGAAATGAATAGAAGAAGAAATTCAACTAGTGGATTTCATAGGAGCTTTGTAAGTAGTCCTGTTTTTTGTTGGTTTTTCTAAGTAACTAACATTTTTGGAGGTGGCCAGCATAGCCCCTAATGCTGAGGAATACAATGTTACCAGTTTCAAAAAAAAAAGTTTCTTCTCCGTTTTTGCCATAATACCTTCCATATCTCCATTGTTTTGTGTTGCTACCCAGGGGCATGCCCAGGTATATGGTAGGCAAATGCTCCACTTTGCATCCCAATATATTTGCTAGTTGTTGGATCTGAGGGAACTCATTTACCGGAAAGAGACTACTTTATCCTAGTTCACTTTCAACCATGAAACTGCTTCAAACAAAACCAAAATCACTCTGATGTAGCTAAGTAGTTCTGTTGTAGGTTCACAAAAAGATGATAGTATCATCCGCATAGAGCAGATGACACTTGTTTTTTTTCCCCACTCTATGTCCAACCTAAAAGCCTCAAATCCATCTACTTTGAGTTGCAATCCTCATCATACTATCAAAGCATTCCATTGCCAAAATGAATAAGAAAGGGGAAAGAGAATCACCCTGTCTCAACCCTTTTTCTATTCGAAAAAACCAACAGGTTCCCATTCACAAGGACAGAAAACTTGATTGTTTTTATACCCACCTCAATCCACTTTATCCATTTTCTGCCAAATCCCATTTGTCTAAGCGTATTCAGAAGGAAAGACCAATTCATGAGGTCATACATTTTGAATATCCAATTTCCACATTAGACCAGGGGCTTCTCCTTTCACTCTTAAGTCAATACATTCACTACCAATAAGTGTTGCATCCATGATTTGCCTCCCCTTTATAAAGTCATTTCATGTTTGTTGATCAATTTCGGTACCACCTTTTTTTAGCCTTTCAACCAACAATCTAGCAATGATCTTGTAGACTCCCTCCACCAGGCTGATTGGCCTAAAATCCTTCAACTTTGATGCTCTATGATTCTTTGGGATTAAAGCAATAAAGGTTGCATTAAAGCTCTTCTCAAAAATCTGATTGGAATGAAAGAATTGAATTGTAGTGGTGATGTCTTCCTTCGACAGGGCCCAAAAAGCCTGGAAGAATACCATCAGATATCCATCAGAACCCGGAGCTTTCTCCTTTTCACATAAGTTCAAACATACCCTTATCTTCTTCCTCAAAAGGTCTCTGCAGCGATACTTTTTCTTCTCCAGTGATCATTGTAGCCTATTGCAGACTCAACTCAGGTCTCCATTATTCTGCCTCCTTGTATAGGTTTTTATAGAAATTATGCACGGCCTCTTTGATCACAACCTGGTCCTTAGTAACAGCTCCATCTACTTCCAATTGGTCTATATAATTGAATCTTTCACTCATAAAAAATGTTTTTGATACACTATCTACCTACATGATGTATAGCAAGGATTTTTTTGTGGCAAGGAAATTGTGATCCAAACAATCACAAGATCCACTAAGGAAAGCGTGATCATGTCATACTTGGTAAAAAGGAAAGGGTCAAGGGAAAATTCAAAATCATGTCTTCTTATTAAGTGGTTACGGGATTTGTCTCTCAAGAACAAGCATCATGGAAGGATGCAATAAAGGCAAGATATGGAATGGAGGACTCATCAATCAACAAGGTATCATAACAACCTTATGAAACTAGAGTATGGAGATCTATTAGAACTTTGTGACCCAAATTTATCAACAACAATAAAATCAAGGTAGGTAATAGAGGGAAGATTCTGTTCTGGGAAAACTGTTGAGTAGATCAAGACACTATATAAGCTAGATTTCCTAAATTTGTTCAACTTGAGTCTGCAGAGAAATGCTACGGTTAGAGAGATGAGAGACAATCAAGGATGAAACCTCAGGTTTAAAAAACATTTGAATGATTGGCAAGTGAGCAGGTTGATTGAGTTTCTTAACATTCTAGAGCATTGCAAAGGCCTCAAAACAAGTGAGGCAATTTGTTTTGGGTACCAGACAAGCAAGGAAGATTCTCAGTTGGTTCAGGTTACAGAAGCTCTCAACTACTAAACACACGACAAGGTGACTAGCCTTGGAAGATGATAGGTGGCAAGGTGACATCTTTCACTTGATTGTTAGCCAAACAGGTTGCACTCACCGAGAATAGCTTCATGAAGAGGCACTCCAAATGTTCTTTTTGTGAATGTGAGATAGGGACAATAACCCATCTCTTTCTACATTGTAGAGAGACTTAAGTTGTGGTGGATTTTCATCAACCTAAGGGGCATTAGGTAGCTTCTGCAAAGGAATATTAATTAAGCTTTACCCTACTGGAACAAAGATGGTAATCAATCAGTCAGCGCACAGGGAGAGATGGAAGGTTGTCCCAGCCTGTGCATTTGGTGGACTATCTGATGGAAAACATTCAAAGGTGCTTTGAAAACAAGAGTTTGCCCCCTTCAGAAAATGAAGATGAATAATCTGGCTCTTTTACTTTTTTTTGGTGTAAACACGAATATCCTCAAGAAGAAGAGTATATTCCTAGAATTTCATATCACTTATGAGTTCATAGGAGGCTGACTATACTTCTATGATTTCTGATTGCAAGTAATATTGGAATAACTTCGGTGTATTCCTTTGTTCATAATACATGTTACTTTTCTCAATAAATAAAAATTGTAGGTTGCTATAAAAATATTAAACCAGTAACTTTACGTTACTATCAAACTATTATACCTTCCAAGGTTCATCTTCCATTTTTTTTTCTTTTTTTGTAGTTCTAAAATTTTGTTTTAATCAAGGTTTTGTTACTCTCTGTTTATGTGTCCCATGATAAGACGTTGATAGTATAGCGAATGAACTATTATCAAACTACAATCATATGATACACATATTATCACCACACCTAGTCATAGGTTAAAGCTTCTTCTTATCCAGAGAAACAAAGTAGACCAAAAGTAATGGTCAGATATATCTGCCCCCAGCCATCTAAAATAAAAATAATAAAGAAGTAAATAATTGAGGTTCTGACATAGCATGTGTGATCAAGAAAAAAAATACCTTTTCAAGGTATCACTACATGAATCGTCTACTAGCAGAAAGCATTTGGATAGACATTATGTAGAAATACCACTGTCCACTCCACCATCTCTTTGAGGGAGAGATAGGCAATTGGAAGAGGAAGGGAAGGGATGGATAAGATTGAAAAAACTTATCAAACTGATGGTTGGGAGACCATAAATGCATATGGTCTATCTTATTCTTACACAGGTTTGATAATGTCATTTTCGTCGTTATGAACACCATAAAAGACAGTTGATTTTACGATAACATGGTAATATCTACTCTATTATCCAAATGAAAATCTATAATTCACTCAAGAGGAGTAGTACAGATAAGCAATTAAGGTAAGATAGAAGCAATTCAAATAAGGTTAGAATACTGAAATTACTATTATTAAGATCTCATATCAAAGTACTTAAAATGTGGAAGGGCTGAAATATACCACATTGTGCATATCATTTTCAGGTACCCAGATGTAGGGCTTGCCTCTCTTGACGAAATAGCGGACTTTTGAAGTGTATATTTCCCCTTTGCTGAGACAAACAAGGTAATAAACAAATGGAACAAAAGGCAAATAATAATATGATAAAAGCATATATATATATATATATATATACCTTCCATTAGCATCAGCCTTCACAGTGTTAAGGTAACCTTGCCAATTAGATGCCAATATATTCTACAAAAGCATCCATAAGATTATTTATGAAGGAAATTTTTTTAAATGAACAAGAAGTTCTTCACTCACCTTGCATTTTTCAGCATATGTTAGCACCGATGTTTTGCCTCCTTTAATCATCTCACTCAACACTAATGTCTTTCTCTCTCTCTAAATGGTACTAACAGTAAGAGAGGCGAACCGGAAAGTCGTCGACAGACAAGGGTTTCTTCGGGGTTTATCAAAAGAAAAAATAAACGCTCAAGTGTTGGGAATTAAATTTAAGAATAAGCATTTCCATACTATGCTCTTGACTCATTTTATATTGTGTTTGGGTTGCAAATAAAAAGTTATATATAATGATAAAATAATAATTTAAAAGTAAATATTATAATCATACTTTTATTTAGGGCGTGGTTGAATGGGCTTAAGAGCTGGTTAAATTAACTTAAAACTCAATTTTTGATTTATTAAAGTGTTTGACAAATATCAAATTAACTTATTTTAAATCAAAAATGACATATTTTATAAACTAAAAGCTAAAAGTAAGGTGAGGGGTGTTTTTTTTCAAACTTAAAAGTCATTGTATGTTGAACGTGTAGATTTTCTTTTTACCTTTAATTCTTTCTTCTTTTTTTTAATTATTATAAGTAGTATTAGTATTATTAATATTTTATTATGTTTTAATTATTATTATTATTTAATTTACTATTCTTTATTATTATTATTATTATTATTTTATTTTTATTGTTATTATTATTATTATTTATTTTATTATTCTTTATTATCATTATTATATTATATATTATTATTATTAAAATTATAATTATTATTATTATTTTGATATTATTTTATTATTATTATTATTTATTTTTATTATATATTATTATTATTATATTATTATTAATATTAATATTTTATTTATTATTATTTATTTTATTATTATTTATTATTATTATATATTATCATTATTATTATATTATTATTAATATTATCATTATTATTATTATTGTTATTATTATTATTATTTTCATATTATATTATTATTATTGTTGTTGTTGTTGTTGTTATTTATTATATATAATTATTATTATTATATATTGTTATTATTATAATTATTATTTTTTAAACAATTTGTAATAATAAAGAAATTTGTGAATGATAGCAATATATAATTACTTATGGATGTAAAATATAAATTAATTCTGTTTCTTTTTTAAGTATAAAAACCTTAAATTAATCAACTTTTACCATGTTAACAACTTTTAAGGCTATTTCAGACATTTTGATTAAAAAAAGTGTTTACCAGCACTTATATATCAAACACATCAATAACTTTTTGTTTAACCTCACCACTTTTATCCAACACATATAACTACTTATTTTAAAAATAAGTTCCAGCACTTTCAAAAGTACTTTTTAAAAGCTATTTTGTTAAGCCCATTCAAACGAGCTCTTAATTGTGTCATGATTGAGCAAACTGTTTGTCAATCTTCCTCTCTCCCTCAAATTCTCGCTCGCCACTTTTGCTTTTATACAAACAAAAATGTATAAATGTGTTTGTCTGCATATAAAGCGAGAGAAATTGTATATATACATACATTTTCGTTCTCCTCTTTTCTCTCTTCATCTCGCTCGCCACTTTCCCAAATTTTGCTTGCCTCTCTCTTATACAAATAGAAACGAAATGTACAAATTGTGTTTCTATTTGTATAAAGCGAGAGAAATTTGTATATACACATGCAAATACATATATCTTATAACTATACAATATAAATATTATATCTTATAACTATACAATATAAATATTCTATTGCCCAATTTCTTTTGTCTTTCTTTATTTCTCATTTTATACATACACAAATTATACAATTAATCTTTTGTATACAATTATTTTTTTGTATATGTATAGTGAATTATTCAACTGATTTCATTGTATATGTATAGCGAATTATACAACTATTTTTTTATATGTATAACAAAATATACATATTTATGTTTGCTATGGAGCACAATTATGCAAAGTATGGCTATAACATACAAATATGATTTTTATGTTTGCTATATGTGAAAGTTATAAAAGTTTCATGTATAAATTTGGGATAAGGCACAAATATTTCTATACTAGGATTGAAATTTTAGAGACACGTCTTAAGTAAACAAAGATCATATTGCCCTCTCAACTCATTTTTTTTTAATTTTGTACAATTTTTGACTTACATGGCACACCTCATGACTCCACATAGTCGAGGCGCGTAGAAGATATTTAGATGTCACGTAAGCCAAAAAAGTGTACAAAACTAAAAAAAATGGGTTCAGAGAGTAATAGGACCTTAAGGTATGTCTTAAGATTTCAGTCATAGTGTTAGAAGGTACTTGTACCTTATCCCTATAAATTCTATACAATGTTTGATTGGTGTGTTTTCAAATGTTATAAAATTTGTTTGTGTATTGATTTTATGTGGTGTTTAGTTGTGTTCTTATATGTTTACATTGTCATGGACTTAGAGTCTTACTAAAGTTCCGTTCGTCCCTCGACAACTTACACTATTCTTTCAAGATCTTGCAAACTCAAAGAAGCCTTTAAGATTTAGGATCGCTAAGAGAATGAAAGGAAATACTTAGAAATATTTGGAAGAGGGTTTTATATTTCTTGGAAGATTGCTTACAAGTTGTTGGATAATTTACAAATGAGAGCCCCTCTATTTATACTACTTCCTAGGTGGCTAAAATGTAAACAAAAATTACTTTACAAGTCCCTACTTATTTACACTTTGGTCCCTTCTCTAGAAATCTCTACACTTTCGAGGAGATCTAAGGCTTTCCTAGAAAATATCTAGTTCTTCTTCTAGAACTCTCCAAAGACTTCTTGAAAGTATAAGCCTCTCCACAACTCTAGACTTTTTCGCCCCTATTCGAATGTAAAATCTTACTGAGAATTGGCGGGATTGACACTCTCCCCAACTTATTGATGTGATGACTGTGTCGCATCGTCGCTTCATCGGCAACCAAGTCTTATCTTCTCATATGCGTGACCAAAAGTCCATTGACTCGAGCAATGCCCTCGCGCAACTTCTTCAATTGCTTGTTTATCTCTTCTAACTCGGCCTCACGATCTTCCTCCTTCCTAGGAGGCAAGTGCCTCGGCGGCTTCTTTGGCATCACGATATTGTCCCCTCTTGGAACCTTCTTCGTGCACGGTGGCAATGACTTCTTAGAACCATTGTCTTCTTTCAAACTTGTAATGGTGACTAATGTCGACTTCTCCTTCTTAGGATTTTTTTAACTACATGGCCGTTAGTCGTACCTGCCTTTTAGTCTTCGGTGCCTTAACCATGGGAACCATGCATGTTCCTTCTTGATCCATGATCAGAAGTCGTTAGAGGTAAGGATCATTCACCGCGTCGAACTGCTGGAAGAAATCTTACTCAAGAATAATGTCAAAGAGATCTAAATAAGTGACAGTGAAGTTGGTCTTACCTTGCCACTCGCCTAGTGTGATGATCACTCCATATATGGGAGTTGGTGGTACGTTGACCTTCCTGAGTTAGGCGTTACTTGGACTATAATGCAAGCCCAACCTTGTCGTTATCATCTTGGTCATGATATTGACCTCTGCACCTTGTCGACCATAGAACGAGCGGGTCTTCCCTTAATCGTGATGTTGACATACTGCGCATTGCATACTCTCGGCTTCCCTAGTTGCTTGGTGATAGCTCTGCATAGTCCTATTAAGTCCAACTGCCTCATCTTCGTACTTTGCTCTTGCTCCTGTGCACCTTTTCTTTCTGCTTTCGCAGGATAACACCAATGTTCATAAGTGCATAGCTATGCGGCCCACCGCATGTGTAGCAACCACCTCTTTTGGAGGCCTCTGTTTTTCTCTCCATGTCGCCAAGACGTCTAGGATTCTTGCCATCGGACTGATAGGTATCATTTTTCTTAGGATGTGGCCGCTGCTCATCACCTTTGCCACAATCTCCCCCACCATGGTCATGACTACCTCTCATCTCATCTCCTCTACCTCTATTGGGCTTCTCTTGCTTGAAGTCTGTCAAGGCTTCGGCTTGCATGATGGATTCATTAATATTTCTAACCTGTCGATGCTCCAACTCTATCCTGACCCAATTTTGCAGCCCATCCATGAAGTGGAACAACATATCTTCATCCGTTAGGTTAGGAATTTGAAGCATGAGGGTGGTGAACTTCTACACATATGCGTGTATGTTGCCCGTATGCTTCAGCTCCCTAAACTTGCGCTTCACCTCATAGATGACATTGTTAGGGAAGAATGCCTTGTTGAACTCTTCCTAGAATTGATGGTAAAAGGACCCTTTCATATCTTCGACTCTTTACACCTCCACCAGAGCATGGCCATCTCCGAAGGATACAACATAGCGGTGTTGATCTTGATTTCGTCGCTCTTTACTCGGTTATACTTGAAGTAATTCTCCAAGTGCCACAAGAAATTCTCCACCTTTTGCGCATCATGGACGCCTTTGAACATAGGTGGCTCGGGAGCTTCGACCTTGATCTCTCTATCTCGGACAAGTGAAGATGATCCTCCAAAATTGTCACTTGCTTTGGTGGTTGAAAGGGGATGAGATGTTAGCGCCTCACTTGTTATGGGGTCGAGCAACATTTCCTCATCACTCTTTTGTTGCTTCTTCCCCTTGTGGTTCTTTCATCCACCCTCTAGAAAAACATTGGTGGTGCTAGCGCCGTTTACGTCCTTCGTTGGTCATTCCCTTAGTACCAAATCTCGCTCTGATACCACATTGCCATAGACTTAGAGTCTTACTAAAGCTCCGTGTGGCCCTCAACAAGTTACTCACTATTCTTGCAAGATCTTGCAAGCTCAGTGAAACCTTTAAGATTTAGGATCGCTAAGAGAATGAAAGGAAAGACTTAGAAAGATTTGTAAGAAGGTTTTATATTGCTTGGAAAATTGCTTACAAGTTGTTGGATGATTTACAAATGGGAGCCCCTCTATTTATACTACTTTCTAGGGGTCTAAAGTGTAAGTAAAAATTACTTTACAAGTCCCTTCTTATTTACACTTTGGTCTCTTCTCTAGAAATCTCTACACTTTCTAGAAAATTCTAAGGCTTTCCTAGAAAATATCTAGTTCTTCTTCTAAAACTCTCCAAAGACTTCTTGAAATATCTAGGGGCTTCTAGAGTTTTCTGTAAACCTCTTCAAAACTCTAGACTTTTCTGCCCCATTCGGATATAATTTTATGCGAAGTAGAGGGTGGAATAAGTTATGAGGATATTATTTATAGAGTAAAACCTTAA